CTCGTGGCCAAGACAGAAACTAACAACAAAAGGAAGTACAGGAGAAACAAGTGGAAAGCTAAACTTCATTGCTAGAAATGCAACACAGGCACCTATAAGAGCTTCCTTTTAAATGCTTCTAGTTTCACATACGCGATGAGCCGGGATGTGGTGAGCTGCAGGGATCCAGCTGTGCTGACTTAAAACTGATATTAAAAAGGAGGAGATTTTAAATGCACAGGGACCCATGGCTCAAGGGAACAACTTCTGCACAAAGTTGTAGATGTTGTACCTAAAAGGCTGCACCTAAATCAGAGCCAGTGTAGCACTGGCACAGGAAAGAAATATTGCTTAGTGGTAGGAAAGAAATGACAGAAACTTCTGGGCAGAAGTCCCAAAGGAGAATTCCTGATATCAAAATTATACTGGGTTGATACGAAGCCATGGCAGACAAAAAAAATAAAACCTAGGCAGCTCTACACCTTATGAACTGCCTGAAGCTGAAAATCTGTCTGGGGAAGAGAGCACTAGTGGGACACCGGAGAACAGGGGAAAGAACATGGTAGCAAAAAGCCCAGGTCAGAATAGAAAGGGTGAGTTAGCACTGAACCCATGTCATTCAGTACCTTCCAGCAGGACAAGCCATGGGGTGCAGTGTAACCCACATGTCAGTATTTTTGTGGATACGAATCCCAAATCACATAATTTACAGGATGAATTTATACTTCTGGTTGCTTTCAGCTCAGGAAAGGACTGGATGCACACAGCTGCCTTGTGTCTTTGATCTGGGCCATCTAATTAAAAACTACCAGGCAGGAGCTCCTGCTGGTAAAGGAGGGAAATATCACTGCAGAGAAGCAATTGGTTGGTATCTTTGAGGTTGCGCTCCCGAATGGCTGCAGTTTGGAACAGCAGACTATAATTGAGCCACTAAAATACTTTCTTAATATAATTAACAGGTTAAGAGATTTCAGCAAAGAGACTACTCTTATGCTGTTGTTTGGCTGCGTACAGCGGTATGTACAGTGCAGGCGGTAGAACCTCACCTTGCAAATCCTTTGTGGAGCCAAGCCACAGCTAGCACGGGAACAAATTTAGAGCAGAAGATAAATGAAATAGCTAATTAAAAGACACCCACATCTGGACTGCTGTAAAAAAGACACTGAGAAACTGGACAGAATCCAGCATAAGGCCATTAAGGCAGTGAAGGTCCTGGAGAACAGTGGAGACAAAGGAAGCCGGGTTTGTTCAGCTTGGAGAAAAATGTGCTTAAGGAGGGATTTAACAGGTATCTGAGACTACCCAAAAGGGGACTGGGGGGTTCAGAGACGATGAGCCAGATTCTTCTTTGTGGGACGCAGTAAAAGGCCAAGAAGCCACAGGCGTAACTTGCAGCAAAGGGAAATTCAGATTAGATGTCATGAAAAATTACACGCGCGCTCCCCCCAAAGGGCAGTTCAGCGATTGCCGCAGGTCCCCAAATAGGCTGGGGAATCTCCGCTCTCTGAGATGTTCAGGACTCACCTGAACAAGGCCCTAGGCAACCTGATCTAGCTTTGGGGTTAGCTCTGCTGTGAGCAGGGGGTTGGGCTAGGTGATCCAGAGGTCAAAATAGTTGTCAAAAGAAGAGCAGAGGAAGAAGTTACGTATAGAGTTTCTTTTCCCCCTGTACTCCCTCAGCCGCTATCTGCAGCTACTTGTAGAGTCAACTGTCAAATCCATAACAAATCTGGCATCCTTTGGCAAGGAGTTCCACTGCTCAGCTACAGAAACACCCCCTCCTTTGGCTTGCTTATAACCCGCTCCCTGCCTCATTTTTATTAATATCTGATTGTTTTTTTTTCAATGACTGATTCCTGACTTCCGTTCACCCCCTCCAAGCTGCTCATGATACAGACCTGTAATGTCTGTTATCCTTCCTCAGCTCTCTGCCAGGCTGAAGACTCCAACCCTATTAAGATGTTCTTTGTACAGAACTATTCTATGCTTCTGATCATCTTTGCTGTCCCTCGCTGACATGTTTCCCACTCTGGTGTATTCATTTGGAGATAAGCATGGAGGGTGGCACAGAACTGCACTGTTCAAGATGCTGGTGAGTCACGGACATATACAGGGAGAGTGATGATTTCTGCTATTTGTTCACCACAACTGAGTATTAAGATAACAATTGCACAGACCTATATATGATCACAGTCTTACTCCAGAGAGGCTACAATTAGTTCACAGTTCATTGTTTTATATGTAAACTTTGATTTCTTTTTCTGCATGAACATTGTTTTACAGATGCCTCTCTGGAATTTCGTCTTCTGTTCTATTGCCCACTCATTCACTACCATAAGGTCCTTCTGCAACTATTCAGAGTCAACTCCCACCTATTATCCGTTCTACTATCAGCCAATTTTTCTCACCTCACCAAGCTCTGCTTCCAGGTCATTTGGGAATATACTGAACAGCGTACATTTCAGGTTAGGCCCCTGTGATCCGATGACTGATGAACTCCCTTTGCTGTAAAACCTGGATGTTTATTCCCACCTTCCATTTCCTATTTTCTACTAATTCTTTACCCGAGAAAACCTTCATCTTCTTTCTTATACCATGATTTTAGCTTTATTTAAAGACTTTGATGAGAAAATCTTGTCAAGGAAACTGTATCATCCAGACCTGCCTTATCCACAAGCTTGCCAAGTCCCTCAAAAGACTCCAGGTTTACAAGACAGGATTTGCCTTTACAAAAGCAGATGTTGACTCTTTCTTTGATATCACACTCATTGCTTTCTCTGTTATACTGTCTACCCTCTTGCCTAGATATCAACTTTATTGTTCTGTGCTTCCCTTGCATTCGGGGGGGATCTCATTTGGCAACCTTTTTGAGAATCAGCATCATATTTGTTACTTCTAATTCTTGGCACTGAACTGATTTTAGACAGGAGGTTTTGCCGTCCTGCACAGAACTGCATTGTAGTTTTGCTGTTAGTGCACAGTGAAAGCCATCTGGGCTTGGGGAATGGGCAGATGAACCATCTTCCTGTGACTTGCCCAAGCCAGATGCTCTCTGTCAGGCCATGGGACCCCAAGACACTGAGGACCACTGTGGTTGCCCAGATCCTTACCGTGGAGTAATGCTAGTGCAAATCCCATTTCATTACACCATGCCAACTGCATGAGCCAAATGCATTACACCATAACAACTGCAGAGCTGAGCACCAGTCCGGACCCACCGCAAAAATTTTATGTCCTGCGGTTCCACAAACAGCTGGAAAGACTGTAGCAAATCAAGAAATAACCAGGATGCAAAAGGTCAGCCACCTGACCTCTCTCTGTACAAAAACATTCGCAGATGCTGCAGCTGGGGGTGGAGGAGTGACCGTAGCAGACTGCAGACTGCACGTCCCAATCCCTGCTTGCTCTTTATGTGAGTGAGGAGCAACAGTAACAGCAATCACAAGCTAGAACACCTGAACTCCAGCCCTCTAGCTATCCTGCAGCTACTTGATTAGAAGGTATATTTTTTTTTCCCTTCTGTGCCCGATTCATACGGCCAGTATTTCTATTTTTCTCACCAACAATTCTTGTTTTCTTCCCCTAACTAGCATTCACATCACTCACCCACAGGATGGCATCAGGATCTTGACTCTCAGATCCCTACTAATAGGGACGGACAGCAGCTGGTAGGAAGTACCACGGCCCTTAACCAGGGGGTCCTACTAAAGAAAATAAAGCAATATTGGAATTATCAAGACAGTATCTTGAGATGGACTGGAGAAACCAAAGACCTTGGCAGAGGAGGGGTGGACTTGCACCCTCCTGGCAGGGCTGGACACTGACAGCAGTGGGTGCCTCGGCTCTGGAGGAGCAGCTGGCAGAGCATGGGCGCTGTAGCACGTCCTGTGACTCACCTGTGTCTGATCAGCGCAGGCAGAGTCCCGAACTCCGCCTGTTCCTAGGCGGACTACAGAGAAGGTAGCTCCAGGTCAGGCAAACCGCAGGCCTCGAGCAGAGGACTTACTTTTCACCATTCGCAAGGCACTTCCTGGGCTGCAGTTAATGAATAATTAGAGGGGTGGGGGAAGGCCAAGGCCAGGCTGGGAGAGGTAGATGGAGACGGAAGGGACTGACTGCTCTTCCT